CTGGGTTCAATCTTGGATACCACATGCCATGGGCACACCATGCCAACCCCAAAACTGGGCATGGTGGCACATGCCTGTAATCCCAGTGTTGGGGAGGCCGAGACAGGAGGATCAATATGAGTCTGAGCTTTGTAGCAGCACCCTGTACCAAATATATACATACACAAATGATCTTAAAAAAAAAATACAACTTCATAATCCAGAAATACATTATAAAAAACCATATGTCAGCAACAGGGCCAAGAAAAATGAAAGAGGTTTCTATTTCTTTCAGAAATTACAATAAAAAGTTACTTCATGCCTTGAGAAAAATACTTTCTGAAATTATAGTCCAGTATATTACAAAGTCATCGTGATGATTTTCAAGGGTCATATATCATGTAATATACAGGAACTGCAAATTTCAAGAGGGTGCAAACTATTTCAAGGTATCCCATGGTTTCTACTCTAAGCAGAAAGTGAATGGGAGCCAGGGAGATGGCTCAGTGGAATAAGCACTTCCCTGGCAAGCATAAGGGCCTGAGTTCAATCCCCAGTTCGGCCAAAAAAAAAGAAAGTGAAAAGGGCTCTGGGAGAAAAAGAAATTTAGAATATGGAGCCATGACTCTACTTGCAGGGTATTATTTGGAAACAAATGAAGTTGCCTAGATTCTGTCTTGGTGGGCCTCTGGCAAAACAAAGACTCAGTATGCTGAGAAGATGGAGGGGGTACGTGGGAAAGAATGTGATGGCCACCAGGAGCTGCGACTGGCCAGAAGAAACCAGTCAGCAAATCACAGGGACCTCTGTGCTGCAACCACAAAGAAATAGATACTGCCACACTGAAGTGGACTTGGAAGAGAAGCATCAGAAGAGAATGTGGTACATTCTTGTGGCCTGGCCAAAAGAATTGTAAAGAAAACAGATAAGTTTTAGTTGCTACATTTTCAGCTGCTACATTTGTGCTCTGTTGGGCATCAAAGAAAATGACTTGGTGCCATCCAGCCTAGTAAAATGTTTTGAGAGCAATATTCACTGCCAAAACGTCAGGACACTACATGGCTAAAAAGAAGTTTTATGAACTCCCGACCTCCTAAGCTGTCAACAAATATGAATAGGTATTCATATGATAAGGTATTTATATTCAGGTACACCTTTTCTATTTGGCCCATATACAGCTACCAACTAAATGTCTGCCCAATGCTACAGGACAGTCAGTCCAGCAGTGTGTGTCTGCAAAAGCTTACTCACTGGGTTGATTCCTCATTGGTGCTTGACACAAATCCCGCAATTGACTTCTGTTGATTTACAGTATCATGGAAACAATCAATACCAATGAACATTGTTTTCTGTAGCTTCATTTTAAAGAAAAAGGTAGTGAATTGAGTTAGAACAATATAACCATTAGATCAAAAAACACAGACTATTAAACTTCATTAAACATAAATTAAGAATATAATGAAATCATACATACACCTATGTTCACCTTCCAGAGAGCTCCTCCCATCTTGCAATTCATCTGCTGGGCAATCTTTGTAGCAATGCTCATTAATTTTCCATCAGTCACTAAGGTATCTGCAATCACACACTGACTTGGAACTGGGCATCTGATACACAGGTATTTTTTTATCTCATCATACCTGCATTTCTCATCATCAGGCAGTACACAAAGCACCTTAAAAATCAAGCAAATGTGAAACTTAAAACCGTATCAAAAAAAACCATATCAAGGTACAGTGCCAACAAACAAATCTGTTAAGGTAATACTGGAGTCTAAGAAGGTGCAGGGTCTAGAGTCACATTACATTAAAGGGTGAAAGTGTGTATAAGAAAAATGCTAGGACAGTCAATTCTGCGATGTGTACCATCACTTCGACTTACAAAATACTTTGTCCTAAGTATTCCATGTAAGGCACTTACCAAGAGTATGACAGACGTGTTATAGACACAGACGGACACAGTATCAGGACAGCCATCACCTACAGAGTGATCATTACACGTTGGGTACCTGTCAAATACTTCACTTCAGCTAATTCCTTCAAGGACCTACTGATACAGCTACTATTATCCCCATTGTACTGATGAGAGGACAAGCTGAGACACCAGATTTGTAAGGCTTCAAAGGTTGGGTAGGACCTTCAGCAAGACCACCAAGCAGGCAGGAAGATTGGCTCCCACCTGGCCTGTTCCTAACTTCAATGGGCACCTCAGCAAATGTTACAAACGTAATACCTATAAGAAATTTCTGGTAGACATCTTGTATCAAATTAAAGAACTTCTCATGTTTGTTTGAGTTTCGTCCCTTTCACTAAAAAGGGTGTGAAATTTCAAATGTATATATCTACATTTACTAATGGAAGTATTTTCCCATACTTCATATATTAGTTATTTTTATTTTCCTGTAAATTCTTTCAATTTTTCAAATTACTAACAGGGTAACTTGTGGTATTCTTTTCACATTTCTTTCATCATCTCCAGTGACTACACTAATGAACTATACTTGCTTCTAATGTTTAGCCTTAGTTTATTTCTTCAGGTTTTTTTTTTTTTTTAATGTATTTGGTACAGGGTCTCACTACGCAGCTCTGACTCATGGTGATCCTCCTGTTTTCAACTTCCCCAGCACTGGGATTACAGGCGTGTGCTACTGTGCCTGGACTCAGTCACCAGCTCAGCACATCCGGGGGGTGGAGCCAGCGTGGCGTGTGGCACCAGGAATTGAACCCTGGTCCCTGTGCTTGCCCAGCAGGCACTTAGTCTGCTGAGCTCTCTTGCTGGCTCTATTTCTTCAGGCTTAAGGATATAACATTTAATATTTTCAAAGAACCAGCTTAAGCTTAATTTTTTTCCATGTTGTTTCCACGTTTGTTTTTTCCTTTTCTTCTTTGCATTCTTATTTTGGTTTCCTCTGTTCTGAGTGTTTTAAAAATCAAGGATCATGGCACATTCAGCATGTACTCATGAGGGCTATAAACCCATTAACTATTTGCTGAATCACACAAGTTCTGATGCATAGTACTTTAATGACCTCTCAGTTCCGAGGATTTGTTTTCTTTTTCTCCTTAATATTCTAACAGTTGTTGCTGAGGAACTACCTGAAGTTTCTGTTTCTAGAATAACATGTCTCATCTATCTCCTGAGAAGACAGTTAAGCTGGATGAGAGCATGTAAATATTCCTGCTTAAGACTCAATGAGTCTAAAAAAGCAATAATCACAGGGCTTATGACAAGAGGGAACTGGGGACTCAGAGATGATGCCAGCTACCAAGGCGGTGTTTTCTCATGTTATCTGCCCATCCTAGTAAATATGGCTGAGAGGTTTTACAAAGAATGACAGTCTTACAGATAAAAATTCAGCTATACTATAGAAGTATATTTGCATTTACTGCAAGTTTAGTAAACCAATGACAGCATCCAAAATTCTAAAATACATAAATATGCAGTTTTAGAACAATCACTATTAAATGCACATATAACAAGTAGACACTTACCATATCTGTATTTGATTTAACACGTCTTTGTAATGTGGATATATAGGAACTAGTGTCACCATCTACTTCATACCTAGAAAATAAGTATATCCTCTATATTCACAAGGGAATAAACAAAGAAACACAATAAGCCCTTCACATAATGAATGAAATATAATATAAAATGTGATATTATAAAATGCCAAGATAAGCGTTTCAGCTAACATTTTTTTTAAAAACAAACTTTTAGGTTTATGTTCCTCTTATAAGGTCTTAGAGGTCACTACTCAGTCATAACCCTAAAAAGCTAAACAGACTGAGAAAAAAAAATCTTCTAGAATCCCTAATAGTGGTAAGAACACAGGGCAAACTGTTGCCTCCAAGACTGGAGAAAGACATAAGCACAGGGACTCAGGGCTCATCTGAGTGGAGGAGACTCAGAAATGTTCCCAGAGAAACAGTGCCAGAACCACACCAACAACCTAAACTATAACTGACACCCCTGAGGCTCCACATGGATAGCTCTAAGGATTAAAAACTCCAGGTGTATGCAGTTATAGGGAACCCCCCCCCCAGTTTGGAGAGAGGCCCAAGTCACCCAGTAAGTAGCAAACAGTGGGCAAGCAAGTGAACCTTCACTGTATTTACAACCACTCCTCATCACTTGAGTTGCTACCTGAGCTCTACCCTTGTCAGATCAGCTATGGCCTCAGACTCTCAGATGGAGTACAAATGCTAGTATGAACTGCACATGCAAGGGATCTAGGCTGCATGATCCTTATGAGAATCTAATGCCTGGTGATGCTAGTACTGGGGAGTGGCTAGAAGTACAGGTTAAAATTAGCAGAGAAGTGTGACTGCACAGAGAGCAATAATAAGTCAGCTGCTTGCAGACTCACTTCAAAGGCCTATCAGTGAGTGCCAAGTGACAAATTGTACCTGGTGGCAGGCTGGATAGTGGTAAAGGAGTTGATGTACTCGAACTATACAGCCGCATCTACTGACACCTCAAATTCAGAATCCAATGCTTATTTTACTCTATGCATAGACCTATAATCCCAGCACTCAGGAGGCTGAGGCAGGAAGATTGCCATGAGTTCAAGCCCAGTCTAGGCTACACAGTGAGTTCAAGGCCAGCCTGAACTATACATGAGACCCTCTCTCAAAAATAAAAAAGCAAGATAAGTGGAAAGGAGGGGAGGAGGGAGGGAAGGAGGGAAAGAAGGAAGAAGGGAAGGAGGGAGGGAGGGAGAAAGGAAGGAAAAAAGGAAAGAAGGAAAGATTTAAAATGAAATACCAAGAGTCCTACTTAAATTACAGGTTCACTGCAACAGGTGATACATATTCTCCAAGCCTGCTTTGTATGTGTGGTGACAGGCTGCCCAACAAGGCCATAAAACTTTCAGAACTGTTTTGCCACATGAATACCAAGAACCCTGCACTAAGAGACAACCATTTGGAGCTGTCCAAAAAAAAAAAAAAAAAAAAAAAACAAAAACAAAAACAAAAACGTAAACACAAAAAACAGAGGCAATCACTGAAGGCAACCACTTCATCAAATGTCTGCACTAAGAGCGCTACTCTTAGTGACTGTGCTGCTAAACCCTTTACTTCGGGTGAAGAGTTGATCCCACCTGCTGCTAAGAACACTCCTCATGAAGCTGCAGTTCAAAAGGTGGTACATACTTCACTTTTTACTATCACTAATGTCATGAATTAAGACAGCAAAAGACACCGAGGCACAATTGTTAGAATTCACGAACCACCATGGTATTCAATCCAAACTGAGTCTACCAATGTTAACAAGGCAATGATGCTTGTTTTTGTGCAATACAGTTTTCAGCACACACATGGGTATAAATTGTGTGCATTTTTGTTGTCAAACAGCACCACGGCTGCAAAACTATTCAAGTCCCTGAACAATTACACGCCAGGAAAACGGAATTGGTCTTTTGTGTTGGTATATGCATAAACAGCACAGTTGCCATGACTGGACAGCTTTTTTCACTAATTAGGCCAAAGAGATCGACTCTGAATGTGAGTCTACATACTGTTACCCATCAAGAAATACTGTCTCGCTGAAAAATGCCATTCATTTAAATCATATCCAGTAAAATGTGAAATTATCAACCACATTGAAGTCCGTGCCCTTAACGCAGGTCTGTTGGCACAGCTGTGAGATGGTTGTAGAGCACACAGAACTTCCCCTATATATGAAGGGGGAGACAACTTCCTAAGGAAAGATGACTGGCGAGGGCTTTCTGAGTTATAAGAACTGCTCCAGAAGTTTCTTTTAGAAAGTGGTCACTGCTGGCAGCACATCTCAGTGACTCATAATGAGCCCCAAAACTTGCTTACTGTGTGACATACTCAAGCTGTTCAACAAACTCAATCTTTCACTTTAAGTGGGAGCGATGCCTGTGTTCAAGCCAGCAGATAAAGTCGTGCATGCAATGTCAAACTGGAATTATGGGAATGATGACTGGACATTGGGATCTCTGACATGTTTTCATGACATTAGTAGAAATTTTGCAAGCGAGTGATCCAAGTCCTCCTTTCTCTCAGATGGTGCATAATCCCTATCTTGGCTTTCAAAAGAGTTTAAGGATTATTTTCCAACCACAAAAGGCCCACAAAGTGGAAAGGAACAGATCGATACCCCAATTGTAAATAATCTGGGTGAGCTGACTTGTCTGTACTAGGAGAGGATCAAAGATGATAGTGAACTTAAAAGTATGTTAGAGGCAGACAGGGTGGCACAATTAATGCTAGCACTTGGGAGGCTGAGGTAGGAGGACTGACATGAATCTGAGTCCAGACTAAAATCATATAGTAAGATTATAAATTATATAGTAATACTCAGTCTCAAACAAAAAATGTTTGAGACCACCTCAACTCTCCACACTTCTGGATTAAAGTTAAGCTGGAATAGGCTAAGATGGCCACAGAAGCACTGAAAAGCCATCTTCCATTTCCAATATGCTATCCTACCTATGTGAAGCAGGATTATCTGCAGGGACAGCAACCAAAATGGGACTACAGAGTAGACTTGAAATAAGCAACACACCATCTCTATCACCCTTAGACGGGGTCATGTAGTTATAGAAAAACATGTTCAGGGCTCCTACTGATTCTGCCGTATGACAAAGTGTATAATTATTTCATTATATATGACTATGTAATAATTGAAACAACATGTACAGTAAATCTATTCCAGTGCAATGCACTTGAATCATCCCAAAACCACCCTCCCTCCCATCAGTGGAAAATTGTCTTTCACAAAACTGGCTCCAGGTGCCAACAAGGTTTGGGACCACTGTTCTAGGAAATGAAGTATGTCTTCACAGAAAATGTCTGAAAAATTCCCTATTGTCTCCAGCCAAGGGAAAGAAACATTCCCTTCTGAAATATTCCCAGAGCACTCTTTTCTTCCCAACAAAGCTTGCCTTCAGAAGAAAGTAGTTAGCCAGATGCTAACCCACATGAAGAAAGGGAAGTGCAAGCTGTAGTCAGTCCAGCCTTCTACATGGCAGAAAAGTACCTACATGGCACCAACTTGTCATCCTATCCCACACAAGCAAGGAGAAAAGAATTTAAACATTTATGATGTTCACATCCCAGAGATACAATCTCATTAAGAAAATGAATTATGGGACTACAGCTCCCTACACCTTACCACCACATGATTAAAGGCCTATTTATAGTACATTCTTTTTTCACCAGGGTTTCATGTCTGGCCATCAGGAGTTAATTACAAGGAATTCCAAAAGGAAAAAAAAAATCTACACAATTTGAAGAGATGGAGCAAACTTCTGAACCAGATAATGAAAGGATGGTGGAATTCTCAGAAATTTAGTAAGAGATAATTCAAAGAAAAACTAGACATTTTTTTAAAGCGAAGATGCCTCCTCTCCTCACTACTCATTTTGAACTGAAAATTTTTATTAATGCAATACACAAGATTGAGAGGAAGAGCATATATCCATAAAACAACCAGTATAATACAGAAGAAAATCAAAGATGGAAGACACTGCACTAACCTCAAGACTCACTAGAAAACTACCCAGTGTGTGGGATTGGTAAAAACACAAATTGATCAATGGAGAAGAACACATAGTTCAATTTAGACTCGTGTAAATACAGTGAAAGAGAAAAGAGAAACAAAGGTAATAAAATGGAGTAAAAATATTTAATAAAATGCTCCTGGTACACTTGGACGTCCCTATGTAAAAAAAAAAAAAAAAATTCTAGACAAACATTAAACCTTTCATGAAAATTAACACAAAACAGGTCCTAAACCTAAATGTAACAAAAATATAGAACTCCTAGAGTTTTCTAGGAGAAAACCGCCATGACTTCATTGTGGCAATAACTTTTTTGATATAGCATTAACAGTATGGTTCATGAAAAAAAAAGTCCGCAGAACTTCATCAAAAAAAATTACTTCTCGGGCAGTGATCCGGGTCCTTCCTTAGGACCGCAGCAAAGCTCTGTGGGAGGCCTTTTGGTCCTCTCCTGCGTGAGAGCAGACTGGGGGGGGGCCCTGAGCTCAGTAATAAACGGCTTTCCAAATTCCAACCTGGCTGATCTGGTTCCTATTCTGAGTGACCCATAACATCTGGGGGCTTGTCCAGGATCCCCTTTACCGGGGATCCATCTGAGGAACCAGAGTTTTCAAAAACCATTTCTCTGGGGAGACTTTCTGGCCCCAGGGTGGTCTCTGAAAACTTAAAAATTTCATCATTCGAACCTCTGAGCCGTCTAGAGTCATCTTTGGAAATCTGGGACATGCTGACCAGCTCCCTTACATTCAGGCTTGGATTGATCTTGCCCATGAACCTCTGAAATGACTCAAGGATTGCTGTTCAAGACGCCATTCCCAGAGGACTGGCCAATCCCACATGGTCGCACCAGCAGTTCCAACTGAGAAGCGACTGTGACCCCTGACCATCACCCTCAGGACAAGCTTATCCTGCCTGCCACCCGGAGAAACAGTGGCATACAGAAGAAATAAACAAAGCTTCTGCGTGTTGATGGCATACATGAGCTCCAGAAAGTGTGAATAACCATTGTGTGAATGGGAGCAATCTTGGGTCAAGTCAAATAGTAGATTATAAGACTAAATAGTAAAGACCCAGAGCGCAGGCCCAGGGAGTGAGTGAGATGACCTAGGCCACGGGATCCTGAACAGACCCAGAGCGCAGGCCCGGCGAGTGAGTGAGACGACCCAGGGCCGCGGGATCCTGAAGAGACCCAGAGCGCAGGCCTGGCGAGTGAATGAGACGACCCGGGCCGGGGATCCTCATTTGACCCAGGCTGCATGCAGGCCCAGCA